CCCTGGATCTTTATGGAGAAGGCGCAAACCAAACCCTATCAAATGCTTTGAGATATCTAGTGCCACGGCTCGGGCTTCCCCGTTATTTTGGAGAGTTCGGTAGACTGTTTCAGTGATGGCTGTGAGCACATCAGCTGTAGATCTGGCAAAGCAGAAACCATATTGCTTGTCTGAGAGCAGATTATGGGATGTGAGGTGGTTAACCACCCGGTATTGATTAGAGCTTCAAGATTTTGGTCAAGAGGGGAAGGAGACTGATAGGACGGTAGTTGGAAGGGGTCAGAGGGGTCGCCGGAGTTCTTGAAGACAGGAACGATCGAAGAGGACTTCCAGCAGTCAGGAAAACAAGATTCCTTGAGGCAGTAGTTGTATAGTTTGAAAGGGCGGGCGCCAGTTCAGGGCGCGCATTTCTTTAAGACAATGGCTGGTATCCCATCTCCACCACTTCGCCTTGTTGGGATCTAAATTGGAGATAACCACAACTTTGGTACTGGGCATTATGTTTAACCCACTCAATATGGCCTCAGTTCTAAGAGGGAAGTCGGGTATGGGTACACCGGAAGAGTCGAGCGTCGAGTTGGATGAAAATTTCGAGCAAAGCATTCAGCCTTGTCGGTAGAGGAGGTCAAGACTTGAACTGTTGAATAGAGGAGGTATAGAGGGTTTGCAATTGTTCAATACACTCTTGCAGAGACGCCAATAATCTTTGGAGCCAAATTTGCGAGATGCAATACGTTCCTTCATTCGAGTCGCAAATAGTGACTTAGCATCATTTAGGACACACTTACATTTGTTACGGGCGGAGGCAAAGAGACGTCTATTGCAGTCAGACATGTCGCTATGGTATAGGTGGAAGTAGTGGTTCCTATGGGCGATGGCGGCTGAGCAAGCAGCCGAGAACCAGGGGCAGGAGCGCGACTTAACCCTATATTTCCTTGATGGGATGAAAGTGTCGATTCCAGCTTTAACCCAGGAAGAGACCTCAGAAGCACATTCTTGGACGGGGAGCTTAAAGACTCCATCCCAGGGGACATCGCGAAGGAAATCACGGAACGCGTCCCAGTCAGCTCGTTGATAATAGAACAAAGTTCTAGTGGTAGGAGGTTCTTTATAGGGGGTGGAGTTAAAGGAGATGTTAACCGATACTACTGCATGGTCAGAGTTACCAAAAGGGGATAGTTGCGAGGCGATGCAGGATTCGGGGATGGAGGTAAAGCACAGATCGAGTAGAGAGGCTTTACCTTTCCGGTTTTTTTTTATATGCTTGACTTACTGATGTCATCATTTCCAGTAAAGAAAACTTTCATCAATTTGCTTCAATTTGCTTTCAAAACCATATATTGTGCACATCTGTTGTGCCCCTGTTATTTTTTTCTTCACATAATTGGGTAAAAGAATAAAATAATAACAGTACAGCTACAAAGACACTTTTATTTTTAGGGGTAGCAAGAACATGTATAAATTACCAGATATCAAGTAATTTTCTTTTAATTTTAGATTTTTATTTTGTATTTAAAATCAAAATAATAAAAAAAATTTTTTAATTTTTTAAGTTATATATGTTCATGAACTTTTGACAAGAATGGTATTATTAAAAAGCCAGCAAAGTTTAGCCTTCAAACCCACAGAAACAGGGTTAATCAAAAGGATGTTTTTTCTTGACACCACTATTACTGCTTTGACATTTCCCCTGGCAATGTTTGTTTTAAAAAGCTATGTTTAAAATTTTAATGATAACAAAAATGTTACACATTATTTAGTTGTTAGATTATTTATTTACAAGATTAATTTTATATTTACAAGATTATAAAAATGTGAACCAAATACAATGCGAAGTAGTTCATTTATCATATTATTAAGAAATAAAATTTTTTTATTCATAAATTTATAAGTGTCTGTAAACACAAATTCAAATAAAGATGGGTAACTAATAAATTTTGATTTTTTTTTTTTTCTAGCATTTCTTTCATTTGCTCTTACCGCATAAATTCACTAAAATAGACTGAGAGCATCCATTCCTCTAAATCAAACATTCTTGTAATTTTAGATTTTAGGCATGACCACAAGCACTCAATATTTTAGTGTGTCTCTCCCTGTTTATTGGGTGAGCAAGATTTTCCTTATGCGTAATTACAGAATGTCTAATTTTTACCAGGTATTTCTATTAATCAGGCATCTTTGATCCTAAATCAAGATTTAAAAAAAAAAAATTAAAACAAGAAGTAATGTGAGATACAAAATAATCTGAGAAAAAAATGTACAATATTTACATTATTCGTTGAGGACATCTGGGTATGAATTTCTGGGTATTATAACCATTTATATAATTCATACCCAGATGTCCTCAAGGACACATGGCACAGTGGATAAAGGCGTTGGTTAGATCCAGTGACAGGACCCAAAGAGTGTGAATTCAATACCTGGTTAAGGCAATGGAGAACTTTCAGAGGGAAATTAACAGGAGATAACTGACATCCATCAAAACATGGCACATGGAACTAGAACATTCTACCCCGGTGAGCGAAATAAAGGGTTCAGTTTGACATTCCAGCCACCTGAAGAAAGGCCGGAGCGTACAACGGCTGAAACGTTATAAATATGGCGACAAAGATGAGGACAATAGTCCGAATAATGTAAATAATGTACATAATACCTCATCTCAGAAATATAGACACTCTGAAAATGCATAATGTCTGGAAAAATCATGTTTATTTACATTTTCTTGCTCTATAATTCTTTTAAAAAAAAGATTTTTCATATTTCTTTATAAAATGATAAATAGTAAATATTCCATTGTAGTTGGTTCACAATCTTGTAAATATAAAATTAATTTTGTAAATAAGAAATCTAACAACTAAATAAAGTGTAACATTTTTGTTATTAAAATTCTAATCATAGCTTTTTAAAACAGTAAACATTGCTGAGAGAAGAATATAGTAATAGTGATGTCAAGAGAAAAACTGTCCTTTTGACACAGTATTTCTTGCATGTATAAAAGTTAAACATTGATAAAAGTCCCAAAATTGTAACGTGTCAATTTTAATGTTATTAGTAATAAGAGAGGCTGTAGAAAATTTCATGAAAATCAATAATTGCTGAAATTGACCAAATGCTGCTGTCAAAATTAACATGACAATATGGGTTGTTAAACTACAAGAGATTTGACCACTAATTTCGTAGTGGTACCTATTTTATAGTAGGGTTATAGATCTATAATGTATTTGAAATCCCAAAAAAATGAAAACACATTATTTAATTATTTTGCATTTCAAATATAAAATGAAGACAAAGCAATATGAAAAATGTAAGAAGCACTAGCAGCAATTTTTGTCGTTAAATAAATTCTTGTATGATTTTAGTTGAACTATAGATGACTTACATGAACTACATGTCTGCTAAAATTTCTGATTCATTCACTTTATCTGCTTTGTCAAAAGGCTTTGAATCTAAAGCACTAAATTTGGAAGCTATTTTTTTTAAAATATTCAAATCTTTTACCGGTGCTATTTGTAATAGAACCTAAAAACACTAGGTAGGATATAAGTATGCATTTCAAAGAAAATTAGTTAATCTAATAAATGACTATTACCAAAGTAACATTAGATGTTACTAGTTCATTTGGCAGAAAAGCCATATAAAACCCTATTGGTTAGATTGAAACATGACAAAATTTTAAAGTTTATTTTTATTTGTTTTGATACATCCATAAATTAAAACATAATACCACAATATCAAAAATGTTCAGCTTTAAATGTGATTAAAATATGAGGCCAGATAAAAACTTCCTTAAGTAAGAATAATGGTGTTGGTATTATTCTTTTTATTAAAATATGAGATCAGATAAAAAAATATCCCTTAAAAAGGTGACCAGCTAAAAAAAATGATATTTTTATATGTGTTATTTTATATGATGTTTATTCTTTAACTAGTTAATCCCTATAAGAAAATCTGGATATATTTCAATGTTGCAGAAAAATTTTTTTTTTTTTTTTAGAAAATAAACTACAATAAAAAGAACTTATAATGCAGAAACATCTTTGCTTATTTTACTTTCTGGCATGTGGTTTTTGTCACTTCTTTAACAGATGCTTCTCAGTGCTATTTTTACTAACATACTAATACAATCCAGTTTATTTCTTCCAAAATTTTAGTTGATGACTAAATTTCTAAAAGTCAAGACAAATTGGCACTATTTTTATTTTCTGTTGGTCACTTTGAGTATCAGATTAATGGCATTCTGAGATTTTTACCACATCCTACTTTCAAAAGCCACAAATTCTTTATCAAAAATATAATCTTGTTACTAAATTTGAAAAAGTTCTGTACAACCAATGAAAAGATAGAAGTGAGATACTGAATTGCAACCCAAATACTGTTAAAGATGAGGGCAGAGAGAAGAGTGGGTGAAATGGGTAGCTAATCTGCATCAGCATAGAAATTCCCTTATGACCTCTCCTCTACTTATTACCTATCAGACCCCCACTTATTGTAGGCATCCTGAATTCACACAAAGGAATTTTTTATTTTGATTGTTTTTATTCTTGTTTATTAATTATTCCATTTCTTATTTGTAAATGGTAAGTCTTATTGTCTCAGACACGTCACAGGCATCTCCACATTTTGTTGATGGTATTATAGGCCAGAGAAAATTTTACAACTTCCCTCATCTCTTGTTACACCATAAGCTCCCATCACTCAATAATGTTACATCATCCTGTTTCTCTTTTGATGTTTATCTTTCTTACAACCATGGCAAATTTTATATATCTGAAATTTAAAAAAATATATCAATAACTATGCAAGATATATATGTAATATGATTCCATGCACATTTAGAGATGCAATCAGCCTTAAACAACTACATCAGTTTGTTCTAAAATTCAACTGAATATTCTGAATATTAACCTCTTCAGAGTAAAAAAATTATTCTGAAGAGGTTAATATTCAGAATTCTTTCTTTTTCATTTTATATATTTTTTATTTATTTATTATTTTTTTAGGTTGGTCACATTCCTGGTTCTGACCTCACTGAAAACTGGTGGGATCAGGTTTACAATAAAGTAGCCAGCAAAATTTTAGTGAAGACAACAAAGGTTTGTTTTGCTTTCTTTTTACTTAGAATACAATAAAATATTCTGAATGCTGATAAAAAAGATTAAAAAATCCAACTGAAAATTGTTCTAGATTATTACTTATATCATCTTTAGAAGTTTTTTAAACAAACTGATTTAAACCCCAAAGATTCCATTTTTAATTTTTTTTATGTCTCATAACCTTAATCACAGTTTTGCATCTATGGAAAATCTAAAAGCTTACTATTTAACACATATAATTAATAGTAAGTAACTGTAGAGTTAAAAACTGACTTTTGTAACATTGTCTCCTCTTTTCATCCAGATTTAGGCAACATATACTAAAACACTATCCTGATAACCAATGTTTCTCTCCTCTTGGCTATGGCTTTTATTCATTTCGTAGTGTTGATCCATGATGCTGGGCCTCTAGGCAGGCTCTAAAGTAACATCTGATATTCTATTTGTTTAGCATTTCTCAAAGGGTTTCCAAGTGAAATGCCATACCATTATCCATGAAGACTTCCTTCACATGTTCTTGCTTCAAAAATTATCTTTAAGGACTCCTATGATGATTGTAGTTTTTGACTGTATATTCTTCCAAATTGCAACTCCTTCAAAACCACGGTCATTGTTAAATACGCCTTTACTTTGATCATGCGGCACATCAATGGCCAGCCGCATCCTGTCAGTCTTTACATGAACCTCACTTGTTTCATACATACATGCCAATTAATACCAACTGCAATGCCTGACTGCCCTCCGAACTGCCTTTCTTATGATATCTGGGTCAACTCTGCAGGCCAATTACAGGGTTCTGTTGACCCTCACGTGATGCAAGTACTCCTGCTGCTTCTACCAATACCATCGCCAAATTTTTCATCAGCTTTGTTCCTCTCTGATGTCATGAACACTACAATCAACTTCAGGCCAGACTCAACCACAAATTCTAATATCCCCCAAATGTGATATGACAAGCATCTCTGCAGTGTCCTTTGTCTAGACACTTTTGTTAGCTATAATTAAACTTATTCAGCTAAGAATCAGTTCTGAAAGACCCAATGTGACCCTGCATTCCAATAATTCTGAGAGCTTCACAATTAAACCAATTTTTTTTTTTTTTTTTTTTAGATGACTTACAATCTTTTCTGCTAGTATTGATGTCTCATCTATCAAGATATCATCTGTATAGATATCAGTGGTCGTTTTTGCTCCATCTATATTTCCAAACCTTTTTTAGTATCACTGCCATGGTTCTTCAGCACAAATTCTAAAACTGGATCAGGCAGTAAATCTTTACTTTATATCTTAGCAACTGGTATTTCTATAATCTTCTTACCACATAACTGCAAGTAGGCAGGCTTTAACAAGGTTCGTGTTGGCCCTAGAAACCTTGAAAAGTCCTGTAAAATTGACAGGAACTTTTCCAGGGCCTGAAAAGTCCTGGATAAACAGAAATAGCCCCAAAGCTTCTTGAAAAGTCCTGGAATTTTCTAAATTAGGCTGCCCACACATCCTTTTTCTCAATTCATGAAAGTCAAAACACTAAATCCCAGAAATCTGACTTTTTTTACAAGCTGAAATTGTCCTTTTGTTTTTGTTTAGTCGTCAGTAATATTTGGCAATTATTGCAAACGGAGGTTTGTTTCCTTGGTTAGAAAGAGTTCATGACCTCATAGTTACTTCTGTATTTTCTTGTTTAGGTGATGATAAAGAAAGAGAGAGAGGAAGAATATGAAGGTATATCTTCTCACTGCTACCCTCTCTCAACAAAAAAAGAGGAAAAGCAAAGATAAAAGTTGTCAGTGACAAGTAAAGATCTCGCATCAAAGATATTCATTAATTCACACTCATTGAACTTGTAGTTAAAATGAAAATAATAAATTATTTTACAGTAATAAAATACATTTTAGTAGAATCTCAAAAGATTTATCAGTGTTTTTTAAAAATTTGAACAATTAAAGAAATTTTATTCACATGTCAATTTCAAAAGTAAAAAGTCCTTTTGATCTCAAGTCAGCAGCGGATGAGTTCATGCTGAAAAAAATAGATACTTTATGTGTCCTATGTCAATGTGTAAACTACATTTGTCTAAGATGTTGCCAAAAGTAACAAGTTTGAATTAAATTTGAGACAATGGATGATAGAATAAATAATGTGGCTTTGATAGGATACAAAATACGGCTTTGAAAAAATAAGAAATTTTATATTTCAAGTTTCTAGGTTAATATGCTGTATCTTTAGCTTTTGTTCTAAGTGAAAAATGATGAAATATATTAAACTTATTCAGCTTTTATTGCTCAGCTTTATATTAAAATTTCAGTCTGGCAACCCTGTCCATTTACTTTTGTATTTCTGTCATAGATGGTTAGAGAACATGTACCAACATGTGAATGACTCCTAGACATCTGGCCAGATATTAAATTTCTGAACAGAAAAATGTCACCAGATCAAACTCTTCTCTGTGGTGCTGTCAAACGTGAATGGCATTTTATTTCCAGTGAAACTACTTATTTTTGTGTCTGTTTTGAAAGACATTAAACTATTTCTGATAAAATATCAGAGCAATAAACTGTTGCTTCCTTTCCTTGCATATGATCTTTTTAGCATGATCATGAAACTGTTAAAAAGATTTGTAAAGGAAAAGTACACTATAATTACATTTCCAAACTGAATGTATTTGTAAGAATTTTGTCAAAACCAAACATGCACAAAGATGCTGGAAAGATTGTGTATGGGTTTCTGGCAGGTAAGGCTATGCAAAATTTATCCAAAAAAAGAAATGTGTCAACAAAAGATCTGTTTGCATACAGAATTATAACAATGTTCATCACCATCATCGAAAAACATTTTGGCAAAGTCTTCCCCTGAGATATCCTCTTGTAAGGTCACTTGCATGGCTGAACCCTGGATCCATTTGTGAAAAACATCTGTCACAGAAGACTGTCTAAAAAGATGTCTTTCCCACATGATGGACATCATCAGTCAGTATAAAAAGTTCAAGGAGGAGGCTGGAAATATTGTTTTCAAGAATTTCAGCAAGCTTGAAGGCCCTCTGGACACTTTATTCTAATCTTCCTAGCAATAAAGAATATTAAAAATTGAAAAGTTGTTTTCTAGATTTCTGGTACTCTCTCATGGAGAGAGAGAGAGTTTTCTCAGCCAATAAGGAAATTTCCACTGACAATATGAAACAGCAGACTGGTTGCACAGTGCATTCTCATGGACTATTTGGCCACAGATGGAGGTGCTGGGAATGTTCCCATGACTAAAGCTCTTATTTGTATGCTATTCTGGCATTGGAAGCACTACAATCAATACCTTGTGGCTGAGAAGTGAAAAAAGACCAGAAGAAACAGCTGGACAAAAATGGAAATCCATGCTTATGGAAATTGAAGAACTGAAGACCAAAAAACACAAGGTTAAATGTTGCACACAAGATTTGCTTAAGTCAGCCGGCAGCTACACGGAGAAAACTGAGCAAACTCAGAATTTCACATTTATCACAAAGTCCAATTCCATGCAAAGATCTGCAAAGAACAAGTCCATAGAGATATCAAAATTGAAAGAGGAGCTGAATGCTGAACTAAATGAACTGAAAAAATATTGTTAACATCATTGTGTTCTGTGCAACGAAAGCCATAAGTAGTAGAGGTAGCTAAAATGTGTAGTCTTTTTGTGAAAATTTCAGTTTGTAGTTCTGTTCATTAAAATCATTATACTTTAAAGGAAATGTCCAACAGTCAAGAATTTTTGTAACATTCACAAACCATGAGTAGTCTAGATAGCTGAAATGTTAATAGTAAGATTTAAAGTGTGTAATTCAAAATTTTCAAGTGTAATAGAACTCCAAACCATAGAATGCTACACAAAATGTGTAGCCAGGTCTGCATTCAGTTGTGTTTTAGCATTTAACACTTTGATTTCTTTCAACTGATCCATGTGACATGAATTTTTGGAACCAGCTGTAACTTTTCTTTGAACATCTTATCTGACATACTATTAAAAGATAAACCACAAAGTTTGGTTTTTGAAATTTGATGACCATTCAATTTGTGTGTGTATCAGTTTGTCCTTGAAAATTGTTAACATAGTCCTGGAATTTTTTTTATAGAGATCTGTGGGAACCCTAAAGTTTACAATTGTGAAAGTTCCAGTCATCTGTCTTCATTTTCACATAGTCTTTCCACACATATCAATCGCATCACTCAAGTGTGTGATATATTATTTGATTATTCAATTCTCAGAAGTTCAATGCTGGATAGACCTTTTATTGTTGACTGGACACTGTTTTCATTGACAACACTATTATATACTTCTTTCCATGGTGTGAGAATTTCCCTCTTGATACATCTATCAACCTTTTTTTCAAACTCGGCACTTTCTCCCTCCTGCAGGCAGGCTTTGTATCAACACCAAGGGCTCTCTTGTACAGTTCACCTCAACTGTCCATTTCTCTGTTGAACTCTGTGCTCCATTTTGTTTCAATGTTCTCAATGTTTGCGAATTTCAACCACACACATTGGACAGTGTGCCTTTTTGAACTTCATGTCATTCTTGCTGATGGTGACTCCTTCTAGCTAACTAATCCAATCCATTCCTATTACTGCATTAATGCTACCAAAGATATGGACAATTACTGTTGCTTTCATTTCTAGTTGCACCTCTTGTATCTCTAACTTTATGATGCTAGTTCTTTTGAATCCTTGCTTACATCAAACACCTTTCTGTTTCTCTTTCCATTCAGTTATTTCTCATCTTTGAAGTTACCAACATACTAGTATAAAGACCCTTCCTCTCTATCAATATTTATATTGTTGGTAGTAATCCATGGTGCACTGTTGCTGGATTAAAAGAGTAGCCACTAGCACAAATAGCTCTACCTTGTCTGTTTCCCTGTAGGCAATATTTTACAATATGTCCTGATTTTCCACATCTAAAATAAATGATAAGATCTCAGTGGTTTCTTACAATTCCTCAACATGTGCAGTTCATTATGTCTGAAACACTGGATGCAAAACTTTCTCATTTGCTTCTTGCTTTTTGTTAGTTCTTCTTCACTAACAACTGGGCTCTGTCCTGCAACTGCATTCTTTGGGCCATCAATAATCTAGCAGGTCGCTCACGTCTACAGTATCTGTCACAAGGGCTACTGAAACACTATAGCAAGCCATTGATAAACCTTACCATTGCAATCAGATCCAGCCTCTTTATGAATCCTGCCAATATTAACAATCAATTGATGTTTCATTGACATAAATACTCATTAGATCCCTGGTCCATCTCATTGTTTCCAACTCTGTAAATGCATTTTTCAGCAAGTACTTTGTCATGTCTGCATCCAATTTATCCTCATCACTCATTTCATAAATTTATTTCTTTTATTTAGTGACCACTCTATCAAATGAATTTTAAACTATTAAAGCTGTTTCCATTATAAAATTTAATATTAAACAAAATAAACATGTCAAATATAATTGTCCAAAATGCTTAATTCTGAATCTAATTTTTTTATATTAGGATAGTGTTGCAGTTCATGCAGCAGAAACAAAAGAAAGCAGCAAAAACAAATCTTTGCTTTATGCAAGATTTGTGAAGGTAAGTTATTCCAGTTTAAATCTCACTTTATTAATTACTAAGCTTTCTTTAGTCTAACTCAATACCTAAAGTTGCTTGACTTCCTAAACTGACACCCATCTTACTCCTGATCAGTTTTACTATTATAGATAAAAATTTTACTTTGTATGTTAAAAAAAAAACCTTTAAGAATTTTATTGTAATTTTCACATTATTCTAAAATTTACCATTTTTTTTCCTTATTTGTTATACCTTGTAGTCAATGCAACGTTCTTGTGCTATTATATCATTTCCCTTTCCTTGTGTTGAGAATATAATCTATAATTAATCTCAATTTGATGTATATTGGATTTCAAAGACTTTATACATTCAGCAACAAATTGCAAAGAAGTATAGTTAATAATTCAATGCATTGTTACATGAGAAGTTGTAATATGAATGCATAACATTTCATGTTTAATGTTTATTAAAAAAAAAAAACAAGAAAGATATAGAGAACCAAAGGACTATAGAACAAATTATTGGTAGCGATATAAAAAATACAATATGCTATCAGGATGACATTTGTGTTGACGCTATTAACAACGAAGAATTAAAAATGGAAAACCAGTATGGTTTTGAATAAGTTAAAAAATGCTGGATTAATAATTAACAAAAAGAAATGTGTGCACAACACTAAAAAAATATAATTTTGGAGATATTCCATATCTGACAAAGGCATATCACTAATTGATTATTGACAAAATATTAAAAGTACCTAAAAACAAAAACAATTGGAATCTTTCTTAGGACTTTTAAATTTCAACAGACGATATGTAGAGTGATACTCCAAATTGACAAAACCTTTTTCTGTTTTAAGAAAAAAGAATGTGGAATTTATTTGGGCAAAAGAACAAGTGGCGTATGAAAACTTAGAGAAAAACACATACATTGCTTAAAGAGTCCCAACCTTGGGACAGAGTACACATGGAACATGCCCATGTTAATAGAGTAGGATTATTACTAATACTGGTAAATTCTTATTCAGGCTGGCCTGAAGTAATACAGGTCTCCAACGAAAGAAGTGTGATTGTGAAACGAATGTTAACGATTATATTTTCAAGAAATGGAATTCCAAAACACTAGTATCTGACAAAGCTCCAGATATCTGTGACAAAGAACTATGCCAATGGTTGAATAAAATTTGAATGCTAAACATTATGCTCCCCAATATCATCCGCAATCAAAGAGATTAGCAGAAAAAAATGGTGCAAACTATAAAATAAACAGGTTGAAAATATGTGTACAATGGAAAGAAAAGATAGAAACATTTCTTCCAAGATTGTTGCTGGAAGATCAAAAAGCCCATCCACCTTCATGGGAAGACAAATTAGAATCGCATTGACCATGTCCTATGCTACCAATGAAAAACTGTTATAAAAATAATGAATCTAATCTACAAGAGGCAAGATTCGTAATGCAAAGTGGATAGAATACTATAATAAAGAAAAAAATTGAGATATTAAATGTTTTTTTTTTTTTTTTTTTTTTTTTTTTTTTTTAGGGTGCTACCCTCAAAGCATCAGAAGGCATTATTGTTGAAGAACCTGAAAAGTCCAGTGAATCAGAGAGTGAAAAAGAACAAATCCCTCCACGGTATACATATATAATTCATTTTGTTGACTCTGTTATTTTTTTTCTCAGCATCCTTTTAAGCAGTGACTTTTGAAGGCTGATCTGATAATTTATAAAATTATCCTTCTCTTCCAATGATTTAATATGAATTTCAGCTGATAAAACTAACAGTACAAAGAAACTAGTCAGTTTTGTATCAACTCTTTCCAGAGATTAGTTATGTGTATAAATTTTAACAATTGCAATTTTATGACAGCTATATATAGGCAATTCTTAAAGTTTCTCATGGCAAATAGCTTTTAAATTTAAAACTTAAATACACATACTAAAAATATACATCTTTAGGTCTTTTTAGTTATTATTATCTCATTGTTTTATAATAGAACTTGACAATCTTGAAGTGACTCATTTAATCAGTGTCAAGTTTTTGAACTTGTCAAATCCACAAAAAAATATTTGAATGCATAATCCAGCTAATAACCAACATTAGAAAATTGTTTATAAAACTCAAATATTTTATATTAAATTGTAAACAGTAAGTGAAGCTTTAAGTTTTAGATTTATTTTAAACTCTTCTTTGAAATTGGTCATATCTGATCTGCTGAATCAGTATTTGATAATCAACTGAAATGCAAATCTGTGTGCAATATTACTACCAGCAGTATCTGTTTATAACTGCCACTACTCTATTCATAACAAAGGATGTCTGTATTTATACTTCAAGATTCTGTATATAAAAATTTTGATAAACTTGAACTGTACTTTTTATACATTCCTTTTAACAACGGCGGCTTAACAATATTTTTTCTTATACTGAATTCTTCCATAGAATTTTTGTGAATAAATAATATTAAAAGGAATAAATAGATCTCTTCAATATTAACAAAGTTATTTTGTTATTTTGTTTTAAATACATCTTCCCATATTTTCCTTCTCTTTCTGTTACTTTCTCCTTTATTTATGGTTTAAATATTAGATTGTTAACGTCTGAAACTTTTTCTTTCAATCTTTAACTTTTATATTTTATTTTAGACTGACAGATGAAGAAATTTTAAAAATCTGTGGAGGACGAACTGCCCATAAGTAAGTCAATTTCAAAAGTTAACCTAAAGTTTTTCCAATTTTGAATAATTATCATTGAAGGAAAATTTTCTTGGTTTAATCAATTTTCCTCTTGTTAAAATTCAACATAAGTTTTAGCATGTGTGTGTGGAGTGGTGTTTATTTATGTAAGTAAATGTTAATACTAATTCTTTTTAACACTATTTGTTAAATTCTGGAGAATGGAGATGAATATTTATAGAAAATAAATGATATTTCTGTGAATAGATGATTAAATAAGATAGTATACATTTATTACAATTTAAGAAAATAATAAAATTGGTTCACTTTTTAGTGTAAATATTTATTTGAACTTTTCATATTACTGGGTAGATTTAAAAATTGGTAAGTTGTAATTGTTTTTCAACTAAAATAAAAAAAGATTTTTAATTTATTTTTTATTTTAGACATTTACTGTTAGGCTGTTACTGTTCTTTATAAATAAATGCTCTGAAATGCATTCTTGAGTATATATAATACACCCACATTTATTTTATGTTTCAAATATAATTAGATAAAATGTATTTATATTCATTAATTCCTTGTTTTATTTCTAGGGCAGCAGGCCATGGGTTAAAACAGAATGGCAAACTGCAGCGTATTCAGGAGCAAGAACGACAGTATTTGGAATCTTTGAATAAGAAAGCAGACATTATTAGCAATTCTCCCATCTCTGATCCTAAAAGAGGAAAAAAACATAAAAGGGTTACTAAAGAACAGGATATATTAATGGAAGGGATGAATTGCCAAGAAGAGGAAATGTCAAGAAAGAAAAGAAAGAAAGAATCAAAAGAAGAATTACAGACAAAGAACACAACAGAATTAGCAGAATCCACAAAAATCAAAAAAAAGAAAAAGAAGAAATGCAAAGAGAAAAGGGAACAGAATAAAAAACAAGAAAAAGATAAAAAGAATTGTGTTACAGAGGATGAAACATCCATATCTAATAAAGGTGAAAAGAAGAAAAGAAAGAAAGAATATTTAGAAGTAAACAAAGAAAGGGAAGAAGCAAATGATGTGGAAATTATAGAAAAGAAGAAACAATATGAAATGGAAGAGTATGATGAAACAGAACAGGAGTTTAAAGAAATGACTAAAAAGAAAAATAAGCATAGAGTGAAGACGGAGCAGTTAGAAAAGGTGGTATCTCTGGGAAAGAAGAAGAAGAGAAAGCATGAAGAAGAAGAGGAGATAGAATACGCAAAAGAAAATCCAAGTTTAAATCAGCCACTAAACAAGACAGAACAAGAAGAAAAGGGAGATGAAAGAAAGAAAAAGTCTAAAAAGAAAAAGAAGAAAGAGCATAAGAAGAAAAAACAGGAAACTGAAAAGAGTTTGATAGAAAATGAAGATTCACATATAAAGATTGGGGATTTAAGTGATAAAATTGAAGGGGAAATAAATGAAAATGCCTTTAAACAAGAGCCAATGAAAGTTGACAGTTGTCAAAAGAAAGTTCGCTTTTCATTAGAACTTGTCACAGTATTCACTATTAGTGATGAAGAGAATGAGACCCATGTACAAGCATCTAAAAAAAAGAAGAAAAAACATCAAACATTTGATTAAGCCACATTTAAAATATTTCTCTTTACATTGATGAAAACATAATGAAAAAACATTATATAAACTATTTATAATATAAATGTAAATATATAAAAAAAAAGTTTTGCTTTTTCTTTTCCTTTTCTCTTGAATTGTTATAGTTGTATATAAATGATTAACGTGTGTTTTGCTGAAGAAACTTTTTATTCTGAAAAAGTAAAATTTTAAATGATTATAATGCATCTCAGTGACCATTCTTAAAATGATATCTATAGGATGTGATTAATTTATTAAATTTTCTGAATAAAAAAGCAGAAACAAAAAACCTCTTCTAACTAAACTGTAGAGAAGATTGAATTCGCTCTCATTACTAAATGATAGCATTTAAATCAATGTTGTCGACATGGTGAATAAGTTATTAATTATTTTTATCAAATAGAGCCTAAAATATTAGCAAAATATTTAAAAGAATAAAAATAATATCAATTTCTAAAGCACTTAATTTAAAAAAACATAAAAAGCCCAGAGCTATACATGCGTCTTTTTTTTTTTTTTTTAAATCGGTGTCACCCCAAGCAAGGCAATACAGCAACTAACACACAAGGGGTTACAGGGTGTGGAGGAATTAGGAAAAAAAACATTAATGATCATTAGGAAAAGAAAAGAGCAGTCAGGAAAACAGTAGATAGCAATTGACATTGCATTTAAATTTTTGCAGATTAAAGTTAGTTGGAAAGCATAGGGCCAGAAGGAAGTTTCACAAGCGAGAGGTGCGAGAAAAGAAACTGTCAGCATAGAAGTTATGGCTACATCTAGCTATCTCAACTGCATATCCTAACAATAATAAAAATAACTTTGAAAAAATATTAGTGGGGAACATGCTGCATGCAAACTTTCTCATCACAAGTGGGTTCAAGGTTCAAATGACTGAACTAATGTGATTCCCACTTTATAGATTAACAAAAAAAAATTGTATGTATTCAAACATGTTCATATTTTGGAAGCCACAATTTTAGTTTTATACTCATGAATATTGTGAAGTTATCCAATAAAAAGAAAGTAATTTAGGTACCATTTTAAAAAAGAGAATGATAATGCAAGTATTAAGTTGACTTTGTACAGGACTCATACTAGTGAAACATCTCAAGGATTGAACAATGATGATCTGTGATAGATTATTAATCATCAGTTTATGGCAGGTGCCAAAGGTAATATGAAATTATGAATGCTAATGGTGCATTTTCAAATATTAGATTATTTGTGCTAAAACCAGTTTATTTATATATATATATATATATATATATATATATATATATAGAGAGAGAGAGAGAGAGAATATCAAGTATATGGAAATACTTTCTTATATGAAAGTACAAGAACATATAAAATATAAAGAGCAATATATCTTGTTTACAAGGTTGGTAAATGTTACAGTTTTGTGTTTAGTTATAGATACACAAATAATTATTTATCTGAGGTACTTTGATTAATTTATAACAACTGAAAAAGAATCTTTAGTGAATTATTTTAATGAACACTTAATCATTTGGCTTGTAATTATATTCATTTTGACTAAAGAGAATCATGGCTGGCATGATTAAAAACATTCAATAAAATGCTATAATATCACTAATCACCAAAGCAAACATCAAGGGATCATATCAGTTAAGTAAATACCATGATGATGTGGATTTAACCAGTAAATAAATATGTGCCCAATATTAAAAACAGTCCCTTTTAAAGTAATCTTGCCATCATTTATTATTGAAATGTTTTGTAATATTTTCAACAAATTGTTAAAATGGCTCATATTCTATCTGGTGATTAAGAGTAGAAAAAATCCAATCTACTGTTTTGTAGTTGAGAACTTTTGATTTATTCAACCATAGAATTAAGAAAAAGCAACTATCCTTTTTCTTAAAAATCATGTTCTTTATATTTTGGCTATTACAATTAAAATTTAACAGTAATACTTTTTTTATTCTTATATATTTTATCATAAAGTATCACAAGTCCAAGTCATGTTATCTAATATTGAATAGCATGACTTGGGTTTGTGATAATTGCAACAGGACAGATATAAAGGATATCATTTTTAGGTAAAAAAACATAAGTATTAAAAGAAGATGCAAAGAATTGGTTAGTGTATTTTTATAAGGGTTGCTGTTGGCAGTTGTAACTGTAGGCACTGAACCTGAGCAGCTGCAACTCCTGTGGAATTATACAAGGGAAGAAAGTTAAGAGGCAAAATAAGTATTTATCAGATAGATAAAGATATAAAGAATGTGATAGTTGTTTTTATATATATATATATATAATGTGAAAATATACCGTATATACTCATGTAATGAGCAATCTTGTGTATCATGTGACTCCAATTTTTCATTTAAAAAAATGGATTTTATCATGTATCACGTGTATCATGTGAGTTCCTTTTTTGAGAGACTAAATTACAATAGACTAAACAATTTTCCTCTCTCTCTTTATCCCATCTAGTTAAAAAAAGTAAAAGAGAATGATACAAGTATCATAAGAAATTCTATACTTGTTTATACTTGTTGCATAAACACATACAGCCATAAAGAACTGAACGAGAAACAGCTAAACATTTTATAAATGTAAACAATGCAAAAGATGCATATTCTCTGTTTGTATTTTATAATACGACAGTAATATGTGAATATTACATACATTATTATTGGATACATTTAAGTAAAAAAACAGTTTTAGCAAAATCATATTTTAAATACAGCTGTACTTTTTGAGTACAATAAATGGACAAAGTTTGGTCAATGATATAACCAGGACCAGCAGTAGATGCTAATTTTATATCTTGTTTATGATGCAACCACCTTAAAATTAGCTTCAAAATTAGGTTGTCAAAAGTCACATAATGTGCAAGTATATATGGTAGTTTTAAGGTATGCTATATTTATGGATTAAAGTGCTTAATATCAGAGATCGAGGATATATAAGCATAAATGTGGACATTGAGGTCAACACTCAGCAGCAACAGTCTGTTTCATGCTTAAATGCAATCTTCATTGCATATAAGCATGAAACAAACTGTTGCAGCTGGGTGTTGACCTCAATGTCCACTTTATATAAAGGGTTTTTCATTAAGGCTGATCAAAGTCATCAGTAAATAAATCAGTGTTATTGGTGAAAATTTATTTCTCTATTGCATCATGTTATTTAAATCATGGCAATTATGTGTGAAAAATTTTGGTGTTTAAACAAAGATTTGGTTAGTAAGTTATCACTTCTATATATTAAAAAAATTCTTTCTATCAGTATCTGATGTTTTTGAAGTTGTATACAATTGATTTGATAGTTTAGCACCATGATGCCATATTGGTTCTGCTCAAGATATTGATCCTGTTTTTGTCTTTTGGGGATGAGGAGTTATCAATATTTATCCTGTTTATATTCTGACTATTGTCCTCATCTTTGTTGTTTTTATTGCAATGTTTCAGCCATTCTACTCTCCAAATTTCCTGAGGTATGTTGAGCTCACAACCATTAAGTCACCAAATTCACAAACCAACGCTTTTACCCACTAGGCCATTGTTCCATAGCGGTTGTGAGTTCAATCCCTGGGTCAGGCAGTGTATACTTGCACTCAGTGGAAATGAGCGAGCAATAATTGAACAATGCTAAATAAAAATAAAAACTATCCCTAGACACGAGTAGTGGAATGAGAAGAGTTTATTACCATAGATTAAATAAAGGGTTCAGCTTGGTATTCCCTGTAGATTACCCAGGTTGATATATACCTGAGGAAGAACAGTAGAGGAAGAGAGTAGAAGGGCATGATAAAAAACAACAAAGATAAGGACAATAGTCTGAATATAAATTGTGTAAATCTTGGTCCTATCCCTTTACCTTTAGAACCAGAGGCTTAAATGTTTTGCCCTCAATATTAACTATAAAATTGGTTATCAAGCAAATTACCTATTAATATGCATTTATAGATTTTATAAGGCTGACAAATTGTTAAAGTGCTTGAGCTGGATTACCTGTCATGGAATTTTCTGTATAAACATTTAGTGTTTCACAAGAATTGGACACCAACATT